CGGGCCGGGCGCTGCGCGGCCTGCGCCGCCTAGAGCTGGCGGGCAACCGCCTGCTGCACCTGCCCCGGGACCTGGGCGCGCTGCTTCCTGGCCTGCGCCACCTGGACCTGCGCAACAACTCGCTGGTGAGCCTGGGTGCCGGCGCCCTGCGCAACCTGAGCCTGCTAGAGAGCCTGCACCTGGAGGACAACGCGCTGAAGGTCCTGCACAACGCCACGCTGGCCGAGCTGCGCGGCCTGGCCCGCCTCACCCTCTTTCTGGACGACAACCCCTGGGTGTGCGACTGCCACATGGTGGACATGGTGACCTGGCTCCAGGAGACCGAGGCGGTGCGCGGCAAGGCCCGACTCCGCTGTGCGTTCCCGGAGAAGATGCGGGATCGCCGCCTCCTGGAGCTCGACGGCGCCGACCTGGACTGCGACCCCATCTTGCCGCCCTCCCTGCAGACATCCTACGTCTTCCTGGGCATCGTGCTGGCCCTCATCGGCGCCATCTTCCTCCTAGTCTTGTACTTGAACCGCAAGGGGATTAAAAAGTGGGTGCACAACATACGGGACGCGTGCAGGGACCACATGGAAGGCTACCACTACCGCTACGAGGTCAGCGCAGACCCCCGGCTCACCAACCTCAGCTCCAATTCGGACGTGTGAGCGCCGTCTCCCCGGGGCGCGCGGGAGGGACCGACGGACGGACGGACAGACGGACAGTGCGGCCTTGCATGAGGCATAGACTCCAGCTTATCCTCTCCCCCCCCCCATCCCGGGCCATCTCCCCCCCCCCCATGCCGCCCTGGACTCGGACTGATGGCAGTGTCGGCCTTCGCTCCCCCGTCTGGGAGGTTGGCTGTTCACGCGCCACGTGGGACGGCTGGACACTGGCTGTGGGAGCCTCGTTCTGTTCCTGGAACTCAACTCGTGTGGAGGGATTTTCTTTTCAACTTTCAGCATGACTCTCTCTTTCTCTAGTACATTTCATGGTGTAGCAAGTTATCTACACAGATAGCTCCAACCTTTTTTTTGTTGTTGTTTTTTGGACAGAAATACTTTGTTCATTAATATCAGTTTTATTCTTCTGTACCTAAATTATGGAGAAAATGATTGCATCCCATAAACTGCCTGCAGACCTTAGCAAGCTCTTTTAAAAAAACAAACAAAAAAGTAACCATAGAAGGCAGGAGAGGCCGTCTTCTCCCGCGCGTGGCCCCACGCCCGCTAGCCCCCAGGAGCATGCTTACGTTTTGCTGTTCTGCATATTACAAAAGTGAATAATCACTTGCAACCTCAGATAACTCCTCTGCAAAGTAACTTACTCTTTCCTTTTGATTGCAGTTTATATGAAACTGTCCTGAGGTTTTGCTTTGTTTTATAAACTGCATTGAAATCTAACAGATTGAATTGTTCAAAATATAATAATAATAATAAAGATTCTTGAAAGAAGTACAGTCTGTTCAACTTTGGTATTTGAAAAAAAAATGATGAAGGGCAATGGTCCTCACAGACTTGGTGAAACCGATCATTAAGTTATTAGAGAACATAACTGGCCATCAAACTGGATAAGTTTTGAAATGGTGGATTCTCTTAGGATTTAAATAGATATGTTTTTATGCTTTATGTGACTAGGTTTCTCATGGTCCTTAATGCTATTCAGGAAGTGGTTTTGTAAGAGCTTCCTGAAGTTGCCAAGAGAGAACAGTTGATAGTTTGGGGCCTTTTCTAGACTCCTGGAGTTGTTAGGAAAGGACAAGTCTGTCTACTAAGTAGAACTCTCTCTGATCGAAATGGTGCTATGTGTTCACACTTGTTAAAGCAAAAGTGTAAAGCCAATGTAAGTATCAGTGTATGACATTGAAGTAGTTTACTGACGCAGGATAAAGATTTAAAAAATCAATTTGCAAACATTGCTGAGACTTTGATTTTCTTAAGGTTATTGTTAATAGACATTGGAAGTGCAGCATACAAGCTCCAGTGCTTATCGGAGGTGTAATTGATGCGTTTGAAAATGTGTCTTGATTGAACTTCAGCTTGAGGAAATAACCAGAGATAAATGTCTGGGTCTAAACAAGCCACTCAACTAATAATAACAGGTGCTTCAGCTCTGTACTTAAGAAGGTAAGGACGCTTATTTTTTAGCTACACTCTGTAGTTTTTATAGCTTCATAAGGAATAAATCATATTTAGGCAGAAATAAAAGGCAACTTTATTGATATAAATAAGTTTATATGGATGTATTTATTGATGAGTGATCATGTCTCTTCCTCTCCTGTTTTTGAGTTTATCATGATCAATCACTAAAGCTGTACAGTGAATGTCACTAATCAGTCTTCACTTATTATAACAAGTGACTTAAATTTAATCATTATTTCCTAATTTAAATAGTGGGGAAATGTGAAGGAATGCATCTTAGCTTTCCCCTTTAAATTCGTTACGTTTTCCTGTATGTTTGAAATTAAACACACATTTCCCTGGTTTCATAAGTAAAATAGAATTAGACCCTACCTTAGGTTCTAGAAATCTTTGTGTATTCCATCTTTGAAATAAATTTAGACGTTTTTCAGAATAGGGCTAAAATATGTAACTTGATTCCTTGCTTAGATTAGATGATTAGATAGCACAATGAATTTTATACCTAAGTTTCATATGGCTTAGTGTATGAAACAGTATTGTTTCTTGATTATATATTTGATTCCTTAATTTCCTGAAGGAAAAGCTAAACATTTGATGTGTAACATTTCATGAAAGTTTTGAAATCTGGATGGCATAAACTGGCTGAATAATGAAGATAAGACCACATACTCAATAGTGCAAGTAGTTAACAACAGCAAGTATTTAGGAATAAGCAGCTGATAGATGTTGGTTGGCATGTCTGGCAATTTAAAGAAAAATAAAATAAAATATTGGCTGGGCGCAGGTAGCTCACGCCTGTAATCCTAGCTACTCAGAAGGCTGAAACCCAAAAATCAAGGTTCCAAGTCAGCCTAGGTAGGAAAGTCCACAAGACTCTTACCTCTAATTAACTACCAAAGAAAACCAGAAGTGGCGCTGTGGTTCAAGTGGTAGTAGAACCTTGAGTGAATAAAACTCAAGGACAGATTCTTGCTAGAACCTCTCTATTCGAAAGGATTATTCCTATATCACCTGATTGTCTAACAGTCAAAATCGGAGCTTCCTCTAAGAGTCAGGAGAGCATCGGTCCACTGTTCTCACCTCTGGCAAGCAATGGTGGATGTTTGCAAGAAGCCTGGGTTTTCCCAGGGCAAGTGCATTCTGTTCCTCCTTCTGGTCTATCCTCCTGTTTCTTCCCTGGTAGCAACTTCCTATGTGACATAGCCTTGTCTTCTCTTCCATCACCCCTTGCTGTTCTCCAAAATGCAGACATAGAACATTCTTAAGGTTAAAAAATGTTTTACAGTCTAGCCAGATGCCAGTGTTTCACATCTATAATCTTAGCTACTCAGAAGGCGGAGATCTGTGGATTGCAGTTTGAAGCCAGTTCATGCAAGAAAGTGTGTGGGACTCGTTATCTCCGGTTAGCCACCAAAAAAGCCCGAAGTGGAGCTATGCCCCAGCTCAAGTGATAGAGCACCATCCTTGAGCGAAAAAGCTAAGGAACAGTGTCCAGGCCCTGAGTTCAAGCCCCAACACTATGACAGTACTCTACAAATAAATAATAAATAAATGTAAAATAAACTGTGTGACAAGGCTATGGTAGTTGTACAGTTACAATACTCCTTAAGTTTATGAGCTGATAAGATAATGCTATATTCTTCGGTAGATATTAGCCAAATCTAGGAAGTATATAAAATTCTAGGAAGATGAACTAAAAAGGAAAGTATTTTGACTTTATCTAAAAATAAAATAATTATACGGGTTCTAAATGCTGTTGTTTACAATTGTGCATTTTTGTTCCTAGAAACAATCTTTTTTAATAAAATATTTGGGTTGCTGTTATACTTCATTACAAAGCGTAAGTGTTCATTAGAATACATCCTTTATCTTCTAGAAATTTCATTTGAAGACAAAAAAAAAACTAGGACAAGGGCTGGGAAGGTGGCTCAGTGGTAGAGTGCTTGCCTTGCATGCATGAGGTCCTGGGTTCGATTCCTCAGCACCACATAAGCAGAAAAAGCAGGAAGTGGTGCTGTGGATCAAGTGGTAGAGTGCTAGCCTTGAGCTGAAGCACCCAGGGACAGTGTGCAGACCCAGAGTTCAGGCCCCACAACTGACAAAAAAACAAAAATTACCTAGGATAAACGCCCCTTGATTTGTTAAAATGTCCAGTGAATTTCCCTTTAAGGTAGTAAAAGTCCTGGGATAATGAGCTGTTTGATCCTATAATGGACTCTACCCATGGCAGCGAGCATGTGTGCCTAGTGAACTTATTGGGGTTGCTCTCTGCGGCCAGAATGTGTGACCCAGTGGTGACCTATTGGCATAGTTATATAGCTATTGACGGCATTTTTCCTATAAAATAAGTTACTCAGGAGGCCGAGATCTGAGGATCTCGGTTCAAAGCCAGCCCGGGTAGGAAAGTCCATGAAACTCTTTTTTTTATTTTTGGGTCCAGTCATGGGGCCTGAACTCTGGGCCTGGACGCTGTCCCTCAGCTCTTCAGCTCAAGGTTAGCACTCTACCACTTGAGCCACAGCGCCACTTCTGGCTTTTTGCTTATGTGGTGCTGAGGAATCGAACCCAGGGCCTCATGCATGCAAGGCAAGCACTCTACCACTGAGCCACCTTCCCAGCCCAAGTCCATGAAACTCTTACCTCCAGTTAACCACCAGAAAACCGGAAGTGGTGCTGTGGCTGAAGTGGCAGAGCGCTAGTCTTGAGGTCCAGAGTTCAAGACCCATGGCCAACAACCACGACCACCACCAACAAAAAAATGGGACTTTGAAGTACATTTGATAGATTTTTTTTCTTCTCCTTTTTGAAAACTCTTACATGGTATTCTTCTGTTATTATTATTATTATCCTTGAGTAGCTGTACAAAGGGGTTTCGATTTAACATGTCAGAGTACATTGTGTCTTGATCCACAACTCTACATCACTCCTCCCTTTCATCATTTTCCCCATCTCTTCCAACCCTACCCATCCTCTCCGGTTACTCTTCTCTCCAGTTAAAACACCAAAACAAAAAACAAAAAAAAAAAAACAGAAGTGGAGCTGTCTGGCTCAAGTGGTAGAAAGCTAGTCTTGAGCACAAAACAAAACAAACAAAAACAACCCACGGAGACAGTGCCCAGGCCTTGAGTTCCAGCCCCAGGATACCCCTTCCTTTCACCCCCCCATACACCACAAACACGTGGCTATGAAAAAGAAGGTACAGATGGAACTGATTTTTTTTTTAAGGATTTATGGCACTCTATCCCTTTGACCTGATCTTTATGGAGTTGAGGACAGGAGAAACTTTGCCACTGTAGTTTTCAAGAGTTTATCATCATATCATTTCTGCTTCCCAATTTTATTGTTCTCCAAAGACCACACTGAAAAAACAACAACAATAACCAAAGAAAAACCACTGAGGACTTTCACAATTAACAACAATTGAGCCATGCTTTCTTCCTGCTCCTAAATCCAGTCAGTCATAAAGATCATAAAGACATTTATCACCAACACCATAAAGACATTTTTGATAAAATTAAAGCTATCCACAGACACTTCTTTTTTTAACAGTAAAGCAGACAAGGGGGCAGGGGCTATATTACTA